CCCCGCCGCGCCCGCCGCCCGCCCCCGGCCTTACCTTGCCGTTCTTGGGGCTGCCGTTCAGGAAGAGGGTCACCCGCCGCATCGCGCTGCCCCCGTGGGGTCCCGAGAGAGCCGCCACCCTCCCGCCGGGCCCTCCTCCCACCTTTTTCTCCTCCCGCCCTTCCCCTCCCTCCACCCACTCGGGCTCTCCTCCCTTCGCCACCTTCCTTCCCTAAGGGACACACCACACACGCACTCGGTCCCACGCCCCGGGTTGGCCGGTCCTCCTCCCACCCCGCCCCTAGGCGCCTCCGCCGGCCCAGGGCCCTTCCCCCACCTCCTCGAGACCGACACCGCTCTTCGCCAATCAACCGGGGCCGCCGGCCAGCATTGACCCAATCAGAGCCCCGAGTTGGGTGGGCTCCGACTAACCCCAGTCGGGGTGGAGGGAGGGAAGAGAGGCTGACGGCTTGTAAGACGGAAAGGGGTATCAGCCAATCAGAACAGAAGCGACTGCCAACCGGCGGTTCTATGCGTTACTGAGCAGGCGCACACTTAAGTCTAGGAAACACTTATCTGCATACGGAGGCGGGGTTTGAGAGAGGAGGCGGTGGAGCGGTAAAAGAGACCCACACACGCTATTTAGCACCGCCTCCTTCTTTAAGCCGTCCCACTCGCCCAACCCTCCGAAGAAACGGCTACCTTCGCGATTGGCTGATTGGGTAAAAAGGCCAGCCCATCGTTCCGTCAGGATTGGTCGAGTGATTCTTTTCGAAGTTTGCAGTACCCAATCAAAAGAAGGGAGGCGGAACTACAAAGCTAGCCGTAGGGTTGCAAGGCGACCCTCTCACGGAAAGTAGTTCTCAGGAAGCGGCTTTTCGGTGGTCGCTCCGCTTGCTGGGTCTCCCGCAGCTAGCGGCGCTTCCCCCCGAGCGCAGGGTGCCGCTGCCGTGCCCGGGGCAGCGAGGGAGCGGTCTGGGCGGTGCGCTGACACGCGCGGGGCAGCGGCGGAGCGATTCGCGTTCACCTCCACACGGGGCGGGGCCACGGTTTGAATCGGCGCGGGGCCGGTGTGGGGCCGGGAGCCGGAGGCGGCCAGCGCTCGGGGCGTGCAGCTCTTACGGCGATCCCAGGCGCCGAGGGCCGAGGTGGGCGGGAGCGGTCGGCCTGCGGCGGGGTGGGCCCTCGGGGCCGCAGTGTGGGTCGGGCCCCCGCGTCCCTCCGGGCTCGCGATCCTCCGTGGGCCGCCAGCCGCGTCCGCACGGCGGGTTTCTGCGAGCTCGCAACCTGCCGGGGAGGGGGTGCAGCTTCGCCCAGCTGCCTCGGTGAGGGAGCACCCCGCCGCCGGGATGCCCTCGAGGGGTGAAGAGCGCCGGGCTCCACAGGGGCTCAGCTTGAGAAGCCGCCCGCTCCAGCCCGTGCCCCCTCCGAGCCCCAGATGATCCTGTGCGCGTGTCTTCCAGGCCGGCGAGGGGTTTCTAGGGTCGGGGCTTGAGTGAGATTTTGTGTTTGCGTCCGATCACGTTAGTGCTGGTGCGAGGGTTATTTATCTTTTTCCTCTTCGTCTTTTAGATGGATTCCACTTCCAAAGACAGGGGACCCCCCGAAACCGAGGCGTCTGCTCTTCCTGATGCTGGTATGTGGCAGTTTGTCTCCTCCCTGTGAGACCTGAGGTGTATGTATTCGCCTTGGTAATGATGCTTACTTAGCCCCTGCAACGTGTCCGTTTCAGGAAACGCCGCTGTCGTTTCGGGACCCGGGAAGCTGGGGACTCCGCAGAAGGATGCAGCGGAAGTGCCTCCTAATCTTTGCACACCACAGACCTTTAAATCACCTTTGAACTTTTCCACAGTAACCGTGGAGGAATTAGGAATTACACCTGAAAGTTTTGTGAACTCTTCAGGTAAGAGAAGCTGTGATTCTGTTACGATACTGCTTTTCAGGTTTAAAAATAGCTTTACTGTAACTCAGTTCTACTCCTCTGTGCTGTCTCTTATTAGTCTCGATATCTAAATTGACTGCAGACTTGCTTAGGGAGCCTGCCGGGCACATGCACACAGCTCCTTTGCCAGACACCGCAGGAACAGCAGGGCCCGTGACACCCGGGGTGACAGTGTTCCCGAGTCACCTGCGCTCTCTGCCCATCCTGGAAAACAGTGCATGTGTGAATCCCTCTTTGACCCGACACACAGGATGTGTACAATATGAATAGCCCTATATTTTGTGTTTACGTATGGTAAAATAAGAGGAAGTTGGAGAGCAGTTTATAGCATGGGCAGATTGGGGTGTGCCTCTTTCAAAAGTCACACGAAGAAACTTAGGCTAAAGGTAAGCAGTAGTTATAAAATTTACCTGTGAAATCTGACTTACATGAAGAAAGAAATACAGGAATACAATTGGATTAATGAACAGCATTTAAAACATCACTTTTAGACTTTTTTTTTTTTTTTTTTGGCTTTTTGAGACAAGTCTCGCTATGCAGTTCAGGCTGGCCTTGAGCTCACTTTGTAGCTCAGGCTGGTCTCGAACTCACAATGACCCTCCTGCCTCAGCCTCCAAGTGCTGGGATTACGGGTATGTGCCACCACGCTTTGCTGCTCTTAGACTTATAAAAAGCTGGATTCATTGTGTCATTAGGCATATGGGCAAAATTCAGAGTAGTATACTGAAAGCAAGTAGGTATCTCAGAGAAAATAGTATCTTGAAGAATTAAGAGTAGCAGAGTACAGTGTTTTCTCTACTTCCCATACACTGGGGTTCCAAGACCCCCTGAGTACATTTCTGGAACCAGGGATAGTACTTAGTCCTACATAGACTGGTTTTTCCAATTGATGCATACCAGTGACAAAGTTTAATTTATAAATTAGGTATAGTAGATTAACAACATAGATTAGAATAATTACAATAATATACTATGATAAAGGTTATATAATATGTATGTCTTTCTAAATATTTTGCTGTAGTTTTACTTTTCACTTCAAGGAAGCTTATGTGAGCTTGGGCCCATTATTAGTAAAACATGTTAACTCAAGTACTGCCAGATTACTAATGGGTTGGTAGCATATACAGTGTGGGTACACTGGGCAAGATATGTATCCTGGGTGGGGTGGAGCTGAATGGCACAGGAATTTATCACGTTACTTGGACTAGCACATAGTTTTAAACTTTGAATTGTTTATTTCTGAAATTTTGCATTTAATATTTTCAGAATGTGGGTGACTGCAGGTAACTGAAACCAAGGAAAGTGATATCATGGATAAGGGAGGACTGCTGTACAGGTGCCTACGTGGAGCTCTTTCCGTCCTTGTTGCATGATACTAATTCAGAAAAGGGAAATTAGTCAAGAGTAAACTATTACCTACCGCTGTGTGCAGGAAAAGTGGAACAGAAAGTGAAGACCAGTAATTAAATTGTGTTTGTGTATTTATTCAACAACCTTTTAAATGAATGTTTTGTGTGTGCTGGACACAGTTCTAAGAACATAGACTAAATAGGGATAAGCAAAGATCCCTATCCAGCTAATCGTGTAGGAATAACTTTGCCAGTAATCCTCTACTTAGTGTTCTTCAGTGTGTGTTCTGTCAGGCTGCCTCATCACTGGCATTGGATATGACTAGTGATAATTGATTTGTTTCATTGCAATTCATAAGAGAGTTTCATTACAGGGAAGTCATCATCCTACCTTAAAAAGTCCAGACGGCGTTCTGCAGTCGGTGCTCGGGGCTCTCCTGAAACAAACCACTTGATTCGTTTCATGGCTCAGCAGCGGGCTTTAAAGAGTGCTGAGAAATCTCCTTTGGCCCAGGGGTCCCCCTTTCAGGTATGATTTCTTTGCAAGTCGAATTGTGGAGAAATGTTTTGCCCTGTTCTAAAGTTTCTGTGCAAGGATGGTGAACAGAAAGAGACTGGTGCATCCCTGCTGCCTGGGGTCTGGAGCGAGAGTGTTTTCCGTGCCTTACAGAGAATCTGCAGCTAGCATAGGTGCTGATGTCTGGTATGGCTATGAGAGGAGGTGGTAGCTTTGGCTAGAAATGGATTTCTAGAGGTTTCTCTTTCAGACTTTCTAGTTCATGTCTCTTTCTAGATGAGCTGAGGTGCTTGTTTCCAGTCTTCCTTTTTAAATTTTTTTTTTTGTGAGTGTGTGTTTTTGAGACAGGGTCTTGCTCTGCAGTTCAGGCTGGCTTTGAGCTCACTTTGTAGGCCAGGCTGGTCTCGAACTTGCAACGATCCTCTTGCCTCAGCCTCCCGAGTGCTGGGAGTACAGGCATGCGCCACCACGCCCGGCTCCAGTCTTTTTCTTTGTTTCTTCATCTATGTTTTTAGTGTTTTTATGACAATATTGTGGATATGTAGGGGCAAAGGTCTCCCAGGACGTGGTGTATTTGGGACAACCTTATGAGAAGGAGCAGGTACTTGGCTTCTGATATGGATATAATTAGCTATTTTTTTTTCAAATTTTTATCAAAATAATACAAATAAAAAAGTAAAATAGTATAAGGCTTATTATGAAAGACATACATGTCCAGGTTACTTTTCTTAAAGGACAACAATTTTTGGTATTGGCCTTCCTATTTTAAAATAATTTATATTGCCACATCATTTATCAGTTTTAGGCATAGAAGGTACATAAGATAATGGTTCTTAATGTTTGTCAGGCACCAAGAAGGACGTCCGGGAGTCCTTTGGTCCCTTTTAAGCAGTCCCCGAAGTGACAACTATTTTTGTAGTTGTACTAAGATGTTATTTACTTTTTCCCCACCATATTGTTGTTCACATTCATGATATAAAATCCCAACAGTGAAAAAACAAAAAAAACAAACCAACGGTGAGTAAAGGTATGAGCCCAGGCACTGGCATCAAGCTTATGGTAGGCACTCACAGAAAATACCAGTTTCACTAAATGTTCTTGAATCACTAAAAATTAAAAATGTTCCTAAACCCCAACGCCTGCATATTATATGATGAAATGGGAAGTTGGCATCAAGCACTTTGGCATGTGAAAGCATCCTGGATGCTTCTAGAACCATCCTATGTATGATTGAGCTGTGGGCTGCATTAACCACCCCCACCCCCATGGAATGTCATTTTTAGTTGAAAAAACAACTGATTCATAAATCGTGGTTAGACTTGGGAGTGTGGCTGACGGTTTCTCATACGTGAACAGTGAATCTGCCACAAAAACACAAACAGTTCTTACCAGCAAACTGGCATTTTCAAGAGGAAATTTGAATTTTAGAAAACATGTATCTACCACTGTGAGCTTGACAACTTCCTGATTAACTGTCTGTCTGATCAGTGGGCAGTTTCGTGAAAGTAGTATTTTGAATGTGCCAACCTTTGGAAGATCTGCCTAATACAGTGAACCAATATTTTCCGAAATGATGGGTGCATGCTGTTACAAAACCTTGCCTGGGTAAACGATAACCTCGCTTTGCAAGACAGACGGATGGACTTTAACCTAACAAGAGGAAGCATTCACTGATGATTGCATATGTGGTGTTACAGTTAACCTTTAAGAAATCTTTGTTGAACTTTCTTCTGTAAGTTTAAGAATATCCAAAATTCTGCAAAGGCTGTAGAAATATTTCTGATAGATGTAACTCCCCATCCTGTGAAGTCCTCCATTTTTAAGAAGTAGTAAAACTTGCTGAGATCTGCTGTTGTAGCAAATAGGAATGTGAAATGTGGAGCTGTACTGCTTAGATTTGATTCTTGGCTTTGTCACTAATTAGTTGGCACTTTTGGCAGTTACTTAAGTTCTCTGTCTCCCTTTCCTTGTGTATAAAATAATGAATAATAGGATTACCTGTAGCAGTTCCTGGAACATGTGTCATATGCTCGAGACCTGCTGCTGCTGTTGTGTATGGAAAGTGGCGGTTTTGCTCTCCTTCCTGTGCAGCCCATACCTGTTCCATTGCTTTCTCTCCTTTCCCTCCTTTCATTTTTTTTCTTTTTGTTGTTTTTTTTCTGGTTCCGGGAATCCAACTCACGACCTTGCGCTTGCCAGGCAGGTGCTGTGCTGCTGAGCTAAATCCCTGGCCCCGTTTCCCTCCTTTCAATACAATGAGTTATAATTTTGTTTAAATTGGGTATTAGAATGCATCGTATAACCATGTAGATATTTTTCACAAACCTCTGTGTGGTGTGCTATAGTTATCTTTGCTTTCTTGCACAGCCTTTATTTTTCTGCTAATTAGGAAGTACCTCTTTTTTTTCTTTTTATCTTAATTTAACATAAATCTCAGCTCCATATTTCATAGAGCAGTCAACTTTAAGAGTATCCATTCTTGCTGGGCATAATGGTTCACACCTGTAATTCAACACCCAGGAAGCTGACGCAGGAGCATCTCAAGCTCTTAAGGCAGCCTGAGCTATGAGGCTTACTCAAAAAAAACTATCAGGTTTTTGGTTTTTGTGTCCCTTCCCTGCCTGAATCCTCTGTCCCTCCACTGGTCTAGTTTAGTTGCCATGTAGGCTTGCTGGACAGATGTCATTCTGTGACTTCCCTCCTCATCTTTGGTAGTTCCCATTACCTCTCCCATTTGGATCTCCTCCCTTGATCCCCTTCCTTTCTCATTCATGATTTACTGCCTCAGGCTTTTTGGAGACACTGCTTTTTTTTTTTTTTGGTCTTTTTGAGACAGGGTTTCCCCGTGCAGTTCAGGCTGGCCTTGAGCTCATTTTGTAGTCCAGGCTGGTCTCAAATTCACAATAATCCTCCTGCCTAAGCCTCCTGAGTGTTGGGATTACAGGTGTATGCTACCACACCCGGCTAGACTGCATTTTTGATGAAATTTATCCCACCAGTGCATTTCATTTATTGTTTATCTTGATACAGAAGTCTAGGTCAAAGTATTTTCCATCAAGATTTTGAAGACACTGCTCCCTTATATTTTAACTTAGAGTATTGAAGAGTCCTGGTAATTCATTCAACAAGTGTTTTGATTGCTGATTCTTCACGGCACCTGCTGGTTGATGATGGACTGTGTTTCTGTTGTGGGTTGTTTCGAGATTTTTCTTGCTCATCTTGCAAGATCTCTTCTGTTTCAGCCCTTAACTTCAGGCCATATCTCCTGCTCTGGGCTTTCTTGAAGTTTCTCGGTCCTTGGCTGGACTTAGGAGCAATTCCCCGTGAGCACTGCCTGGACACTCAGTGTGCACAGATAGGACTTGCTGACTGGTAGAGTTCAGGGTAGGACAGCAGGGCCACTTTTTCAGTGGGAGAACCCCCAGAGTCCGAGTCCATGGATCTTTTTCTCTGGCTGGTCTGTTTTCCTGAGCAGGACTCCTAGTGATACAAACCTGAGTCCTAGAGCTCTACCAGCTAAATGTGGACATCTGACTGGAGGTTCTGCTGCACCCTGAGAAGACTGGGACTGCTTCACTCCTACCTTAGCCCTGTCCTCCAGCTGCTCCCGGAGGGAGTCCTAGCATCCCAGAGCCCTGCATCTCGGCCTCCCTGTCACCTCTCTCATGGCCGTTTCTTGTTTATGGACAGATCTGTGGGTTCAGAGGCTTTTGCTACAGTTTTAAACTTTGCTCCTGTTTCAGACCACCCTTGACCCCTGTTTGAAAAACACCCCATGCTCCAAGGTCTGTAGCAGGTCCCTCGGTTTCCTGCTTTGTCTGGTCTGAGTCAGTTGTTCGTCTGCAGTTGCTCTTTTGGTGTTTTTCTTACAGATGTCCGACACAGGTACTAATATGTGCGATCACGTCTCCCTCAAAAGAAACCACTCCTGTATGACTGTGCTTCTCAAAAGGCTGAATAGAATATGCAGTTTGGTATATGGTATTGCTTACCAAATAGTTTTGTTTTCAGTTTGTTTGGTTTTTTGGGGGGGGGTTTGTGCCATCGTTAATGTTTTGGTCCTGGGGGTGAAGCCAGGGCTTCACACCGACTGAGCGTGTACTCCGCCACTCCCTGCCAAAGTCTGTTTTGATAAACCCATTTTTTAGATGAGTGAACATAGTTTCTCAGAACTATCATTTTAAATGTTCATAATTTTATGATGATTTTCTAAATTATGCTTCATATTTCTTCCATTTGGAGTATACTGTTTTTAGTATGAAAGGAATGTGTGTGTGTGTGTGTGTGTGTGTGTGTGTGTGTGTGTGTGTGTGTTTGAGACAGGGTCTCGTTATGCGGTTCAGGCTGTCTTTGAACTCACATTATAGCGCAGGCTGGCCTTGAACTTGGAGTGATCCTCCTACCTCAGCCTCCCAAAAGCGGGATTACAAGCCAGCCACCACACCTAGCCTAGAAATACGTTTTTAACTTGAGTAATTTTTCTGAATAAAACTTTATCTTTGACCTTCTGACCTGTGCCTCTGTATAAAAACCCCGGCATACTCTGTCACTTGTGCTTTTTAACCTCTGTTCTTTCTTGTGCGGTACATTTATTGCATGTCCTTGAATAAAATAATTTTGAATAGTTAGGCGTTCTAACTCTCTGAGGTGTTCTGTAAATACACTAGTAGAACATTTTGGTTTTTTATGAAATCTAGAGACCTTAGTGCCTAAAGAATCCACCCCTCATTTATTTTTCCAGTTTTCCCGATTGCAGAAAGAAAACAGTTCATGAAGGACGTGGCTCCCCATCTTCCCACCTTTCCTCTTCATTTCTTTCTGGAATATTTTAGCAACATCCTGGCAAACTCAGAATTTTGACTCCTTTGATCCAAAAACCTCGTTATCTACCCAGCCCCCCGCCTCTGTGGTGACTTGCCAGTGTCATCTTTGAAACCTTGGTTTCATCCTCGCAGCTCACGTCAGTAGGCTCTGTTCTCACTGAGCCTCCAGCCGTGGTCTCGCCACAAGTTCCCCTCCACACCCGCTGCGCGTCCTCCTTTTCCCCCTTGCCCAGTTTAGGAAACATGGTCCCACAATATAAGATGGTCTTCTAAGCTTTAAAAACTTACATAAATTAAGGTATTATGCTTGGACATAGTTTCAAGAATCATTATGATAGGGTAGTTTACTTTTCTTACTTTGGGTTTTTTTCGTTTTTTTTCCCCGTACCGACTCGCGCTTGCCAAGCAGGCACTGTGCCGCTGAGCTAAATCCCCAGCCCTGGTAACTTACTTTTCTAAGAGCAGTTTGTAACTGCTGTCCCTATTTCTCAGTTCCCGAGCTTTGACCCTTGGTAGCTGATCTTGTTCTCATTTGTGTCCGTATCTCAATAATGTAAGTTCCCCTGGTGCTTCCTGCCCTTTCTGTGTTAGGCATTAGCCATTGACCTACAGTGGACCTTCTTCCGAACACCTTCTATCACACGTTCCCTTTCCTTTCCTTTCCAGCTTCCCAGTACATCGGTCATGACGGTGGTCAGACCGGGACATTATAATGACCACGTGTGCTGTTGCGAGCTGGATTTTCTTCTGCATTCATGTTACCCTCCTTTCCTTTGAGTCACTTCCCAGACCCCCTGCTCCCATCCGCTTTTCCTGCTCCGTCACAACAGAACTCTGGGAACAACTTGTCCGCTCCCACACATTTCCCCGTCCTACCCATCTTCCTCGCAGCTGCCAGCCAGTCTAGCTGGGCTTTTGGTTCTCTTACTGTGTTGAAAAGACCCTTGATAACAGATGGCCTGTACTTTGACAACTCCAAAGATGAAACCTGAGTTTGACCTTGCTCGGCCTTACAGCAGCTTCGGATGTGTTTGGCCTCATTCAGACACTTGCTTCACTTTGTTAGGGGATTCCATGCTGGTCTGAATTTCTTCTGTTTTATTTAGTAATTATACCTTTTTCAGTTTTCCTCTCAAAAGTGCTGGTGGACTCAGGGCTTTCCTTAGCCCCTGTCTCTTTGCTTCAAGCATCAGCTGTAGATTGACAACTCTAAGATGTGTGTCTTCAGCCTGTGGCTGGCTGGCTGGCTGGCTCATTAAGTCTTCAGACCTTGGTCTCATTTGCCTGTGCGGTAGCTCCCTCAGGTGTTTGGTTAGTGTCTCCCTTAGAGTCCTGCCCAGCATCCCACATCCACCTCTGCACTGCTTCTAAGCTGCATCTCCAGAGCCTAATTCCTCACATGCCCGCAGCTGCTCTGCTACAACTCCAGTGCGAGTTTAAAGTGCAAAGCAGTCAGTCACTACTGCAGAAAACTTTCCCGGGGCTTGGTATTGTGCCTTCAAAGGAACCCAGGCACTGTCCCGAAGCCTTCCTGTCCCCCTGCTGGTCTGACCCTGCCCACCTCTAGCCTCATCTCTCCTCTCCTTTGTCAGTGGCCTGCAGGACCTATTTCTGCCCTTCCCATTTCAGCCAAGGGCTTCTGCCCTGTTCCAGTTCTTACAAAATGCCTTCTTCCCAACCCGCCTTCTCCTGAAGTTTTCTCATTGTTATGTTTTAACTGGGGTGTACTTCAGGTGGTTCTATTGCGACCCTAGCCGGGGGCAGGCATTTAAGTACCTCCACGCTCTTTTGTCTGGTCTGAACCATAGGCTCTCTTCCACCTGAAATGACCTTAGTAGGGCCCAGAACATCACTCTGGAGTGTAATTTCCCCAGGTTCTCAGGCCCCAGATGTTTCTGGGACACAGAAGGAGTGCTGGCTGACAGACACAATTCATCAGACAAAAGCATCAAAAAACTGTACACTTCAAATGTTTCATCTCCTTGTGCGTGAATGTTGTTCACATCTAGCAGGAAGTAACTAAAAAGCAGTTTAGACTAGGGAAACGTAGTTTTGAAACTTAACATTTCAAAGTGTGACCAGTTCCTAGGATATAAACTAACTCGGACCGAGTTCAGTCATGAGTACGAAAAACAGAAGAGGCTCTCCTTCACTAATTTCCTTACCTCTGATCTTCACAGTAGCTTCTGTGCCCAGGAGCGCCCTCCAGGGAGTGTGTACCTCTGAGGTCACCTTCCCACTGCTCATTTGCTGGAGTTCTTGCACGCAGCCTTCCCTGAGTCCCAGTGCAGTTTATGTCATAAAGGGTTACATCATCAGTGTACCGAGTTTAAAGTGTTCTGTGCTATGTAATAGAGACTTGGTTGTATTGAGTGTATTTAACTGGGAATCAAATCAAATATCCGAAACATCATCAAACATGACTGCATGCTTCTTCTCCATCTGTTATCTTAAAGGAAGGTAATTTTTTTACTTCACATTTGCCCACTGGTGTGAATTGTAAAATTGCCACAAGGTCCCTATCGGTAGAAATATGTTAGTAAGTCCAAGTAATAAAATCTGGGTAGAGAACTTGGTCAGTAATTGATTATTTTTATATGAACAGAGCTGTTAAATACTGTATTACTTCTGTTTATCAGGTATTGCTGTCCTTGCTAATGTAAATTTTACTAATCTTTGCCTCACACCTGTGAATCGGGTTTCCAGAAAGCTCCTGTGTTTATCCTATTTAACCTTTTAAGTGAATGACTGGCTGTCAACTCTAAGGAAATAAGTGTCTTCAGGACTCATAAAATCAGGCAGAGTTAGCTGGGAAGAGCTGGAAGTAATGGGAGAAGCTAGTGTGCAACTTCTGTGTCTTATCTTGGGCACTTGGGTGGAGAGCAAGTGTGGCGAGGCCGAGTGAAGAGACCGGGTTGGGGTGAAGCGGATGTGCCGCGACAGTGTGACACGGATGCCAGGCGGATGCTTCCAGGGATACTTTCAGCGCAGCTTTGATGAAATTTCCAGATAAGGAGGCTCCTCCTGCTCCTTCTTCCTGGCCTGATGGGTCCGTGTATTCTTTGTGCCCTCTATATAATCTTACAGGCTTTTTACAAACATTCTTGTGCTGAATTTTTTTCCATTCAAATTTGATTTGCTAAGGCTGTCTCAGATAATGGGCCCTAAGGTATGAAAGAAAGAAAGCCCATTAAGCCCATTGGAAGCCAGAGTGCTTTATGCCAAATAACTGGGATCATTTGTGTGTGGGTCCCTTTTTAAAGCATTTTCTACGTATTCCAGGCTTCTCTTAGCATGATCCAGGGGCTTGTAAATTTCCGAATACCCACATATAGCTCGACATCCATCAGTATCACTCAGCTTTTCCTCTTTGCTCAGGTTTTGCTAGAAATTGTGGAGGGGAGCAGAGGAGAGACTAAGATTATAGAATACCAAATATTCAAATAGAAGGTGTGTAATTCCAGGGACAAGAGGCTCTGCTACACTAATTTATTACCTGTGATCTTCAGAGAGCCTTTCTGTAGTCAGCATAGGATTCAGTAATTACAGATCTAGGGCATAGAAACTACGTTTGACTTATGACAGCCTCTGTTTTTGTACTTTAACAGGTCAGCTCTGGAGTGCATCGAAATGTTAATTCATTGAGAGAGCGAATATCTGCCTTCCAGTTAGCTTTTCACTCTGTCAAGGAAAAGGAGAAGATGGCTCCCTGTCCAGAAACCTCAGAGGCAGAAGAAGGGCTTGAGACAACAGGCTTAGGTGAGTAGAAAGAATTCACTCAGTTTTGACTTCTGTATTTAGAAAGACAAGCTTCTACGATCTGAAAAAGATTTAATTCCATGATACCAATGCGGCCCTTTCAGAGCACAGCTGTATCTTTGAATGGAGACTAATATTTCAAGGGTTGGCGTATTTTGCACAAAAATCTGGACTTCTGGATTCTTTTGGCAAAACCTGATAGCAGACATTCCTGGGCCTTCATTTTCCCCATGGTTACAATTAAGTTTTAAGTTTTAAAAAGTCAGCTATTAGAACATGTCAGCTTTAGAATAAGAGACATGGCAAATTACTAATGTTGGTTTTTACAGAATTGTTGTTATTTGTTACTTACGTAAATACCAAATACTCAACACTAATGTTAACCACAAATGTATCCAATTTAATATCTAATAGTCTGTTGTATTCTTTACTGTAACTCTTGGATTGTAATTCATTTTATTATATTTTATTAGTCATTTCTTAATTTTTTTTTTTTTTTTTTTCAGTTACAGAGCACTTTAAATACCCAAACTCAGCCGGGCGTGGTGGCACACACCTGTAATCCCAGCACTTGGGAGGCTGAGGCAGGAGGATCCTTGTGAGTTCAAGACCAGCCTGGGCTACAGAGTGAGTTCAAGGCCAGTCTGAACTTCATAGTGAGACCCTGTCTCAAATAAATAAATAAATACATACATACATACGTACATACAGACCCGAACTCAACACATTCTTGGCCCTGCTGCAATCGGTGATGACCATTCCTCTAGTACTTTATGCTCCTTTGTGTTCCAAATGATTCTATTTTTGACTCCTTAAACCCTCTTCAAGTTCATTTTGAAGCCTCTTACTTGTAGTGCACTGTTAACCGGAGGCAGCAAACTGATTCATCTACTTCCACACTGTAGGACCCATTTAGATATCCTAATTTGTAATTTCATTTTATAACTTATCTGTTATTTAAATTTTTTATCTAGGTTTTAAAAGTAATTTTATTTATATCATTGTAATTTGGCAGACATTAAATTTCATTTAGTAGCTCACGAGGACTGAGGCACATTGTAGTTGTGCTGTTTCACAAAAATCATTCACCAAGTAGACTAGTTTTTTTTTTTTATTTTAAAGAGAATTTAAAAAAATACAGAATTTCAAACCAAGATGATAGGAAATTAACAATGGTTATTGTATTGCATATTGTTATCTACAAAGTACTTGCTCAGATTACCAGATTCAGGCATGTAAAATTGTTTAAACAGTATAAGCACTAACTGTTCCTTTCAGTAAACTAATAGAAATTAGTAGTACAATTATCTTAGCTATCGTGTGTGTATATGTGCATGTGTGTATATATATATTTTTTTCCCTTCCTTTTTCCTCCCGTCTCAGATGTTCTTTCCTTTTGAGCAGTTTCTTTCCCTTTTACAATATCTGTTGTACCAAAGTAAACTAGTATTAGAATGCAACCACATCCTTTAAAATATTAAAATAAAAGACTTTGTGGTAAATTTAAAGAGTAAGGTACCACATCCGAAATGCAAATATAATTTAGTACACTTTTATACACATTAAGGCCAGAAAAACCTTAATTTTAATAATTAAACTTACTTTTCTCCTAGTCATTTCTCTTGCCTTTCTGCTAAGTTTCCTTTTTTGAGTAGAAAAAGGTAACAGACTTCTTTTCATTAATAACTTACACTAAATTTTCCTGAATTTACTACTTTTAAAAATGAAACTGTAAAAGAAAATGTTTATTCTTATGTCATTTTGTTTTGTGTACTCAGCTCAAAAGGAAGGTCAAGGTGGATTTTGGCAGCCTGGATTTCCTGGAGAGTTCTCCTCCAAACGCCGGAAGATATCGTCAGAGAGCAGCTCTGAGGACAGGCTGAGCCGTGCGGCGCGCACAGGGTCCCAGACACCCAGGGCTGATGCAGACCGAGCATGTGCTGCTGGCATTTCCGTGGCTCTTGCTGAGGTGATTGTTCACTTCACACGCAGAGAATGGGAGCTGAAGGCTGTCAAGGCCTTCCCTCAGTATTCTGCCATATTGTTGCTGGGGTTTTAAGTTGAGTGTGTGTGTGTGTGTGTGTGTGTGTGTGTCCAGGTCCCACATGTTAATTTTATTGTTGTCAGTTGGTTTCATACTTAGTAGGAACAGTTGGTAGATACGCTGCTTTGTATTACCAGTCTTATGAAGAGGACTTCATGAGAAGATTAAGCTCTGGTGTCTTCCACTTGAAACTTGGTCTTGATGGTTGATGATGGGTTGACAGTGAATTTGGCTTATTCGTGCCCTGAGCTGCTTCCTGTCTGTTGGTGAAGGCAGGCATGTGAACAGATGATTTAAAATCAGCCTAACACTATTTACAAGGTGGCAGCTGTGAAGAGGATGGAGGTGATCTTTGGGAAGTGCTTCTGAGTTAGGGAGCCCCACACCTCAGCTCGCTACCCCTGACTGGTGTAATACTGGCTGCTGAATCCGGTGCTTCTTAGCGGTTCCTTCCTGCAGACTTCTTTCAAGTAACATTAGGAATTTTTGTGACTTCAGGTCAAGATCCTTGAAAGGCAATAGTGAACGTGAATTTTACTAACTTTTCTTCATTCTCTTGTTCTGGTTCAATAGTGAACATTTATCCTTGTTGAGATGAGGCAGCTGACACGGTCACAGTGAGTGCTTTGTTCTACCACTTAGATCCAAGACATGAGTAGCACAATACATGTTTGATAGTCACTAGGGAGGTCAGTGGTCAGGGGTTTTCTCTGTTGCAGAGTTGCCTATAATTCTGCTCCCTCTGCTTTGTTCAAATTAATATGAGGTCCTCATTGGACGAAAGCATTAGTTGTTATTTCTTATCAGACCTGTGGTTCGCTGGACCTACACCATGATGTAGAAATGATTTCTGAATTAATATGAATGTATTTTCTTTCCTAGCTATTGATATATTTTGGGGTTTGATTAATCATCACTTAGCGCTTTGATGCATTTCCTCTTCAAAGAATAGCGATGACACCTTTTTCTGGGCTTCAGTAGGCAACAAAAATGTGTTCCTTGAACTTTTCCTAAGGGATTGAAAATTGCTTTGTGGGACATTTAGGATGCAATCGGGATGAAAACCCCATTCTTGGATTCCTAAGGTTGCTAGATTTTTAAGGTGACTGAACATTGATTTCCAATTAATCCCAAAAATGCATTCAAATCTGCATGAAGGTATTGATAATACTATAAATAATAAAATGTAATGGCCCTTTACTCTAAATGTTTCCCCCAAGAAATCACCTGAGCATGGTTTAACCCAGTCTGGAGGTGTAGTTGAGGAATCCATTCCCTGCCCAGCGCTCGCAGATGCCTCAAGTGGTAAGTTTGTATTTTTCCTCAGTTACCTGTGAGGGCTGCCCCATTCAGTACTTTACTTATTGTATCTCGGATGAAGCTTCAGGAAGGATCAAAAGATCTTTGCAGCGGGACAGAATGTCCTTTGTTAGGGGAACCTTAGAAAGGAGGCCGTCATGATGCCTCCCTTTGCTTCCTGGCTACTCCCACTTCCTCCCTTCCACCCGTCCAACTGGAAGCCCAGTACAGCCACCCGTGTACCTGCTGCAGAGCTGCTGGGAGTAAGGACTGCAGTCCTGACCAGCCTCCCTCCCACGGCTCAGTGCTGCTTTCCGCCCTGCTGTTCCTTTGACACTTCACACTCTTACACCTCCTCTTTCCCATCATGTTTCCCACACTCCCTCCCTTCTGCTTTGAAAAAGTTTGCTATTTACAGTTATTCCTTGTGAACCGTGATTTTTCGTGTAAGCATATCACGGTGCTTTTAGAGTCTTGAGTTCATACACATAGAATTGCAGTTTAACTGGACGCCCCTGCATTTGCTGACGCAGAACCCTTGTGTGTGGCAGGTCAGCTCTGGTTTGGTTTGATCGCCTTTCCCTTTATGCCCCTCTCTCGTTTCCACCACCTTTGCATGTTGAACATCAGTAGCAAAATTGCTCATCATTCGTTGTTGGGCTGAGGTTAAGTTTTGTGGTGTAACTAATTGGTGTCATGAGGATAAACACGCGAGCCATAGAGCTCATTCGTACTTTTCTGCAGCCTGTAGCCTAGGTCTCTGTGGGAGTCAACATTTCTTCCTTACATTTACCCCAATAAAAACAACGGTGAATGCCACTTCTCTGCCTCCTTCTTCTATTCTAAGCAGGATCCCAGATGTTACTCTGGGTCGCATGTATTAGGGTTGGATTTCTTAATAGGGTACTATTATCTTTGCAAATACAGCAAGTATTTTTGGCCCAGAACAAATGCATTTGGGCATCTTCAGCCTCACATTCTCATGTTCATCTTGAAGGACTGGAGGTTGCAGATCGGATGCAGGGCACAGGGTCCAGCGATGCTGTTCCGCTTGACGCACTGATGACAGGAGTGAGCCTGGCTGCAGCCCCCGAGGGCGGGTCACCAGCTGCTCCTGTGTGCGGGAGGGAAGTTGCACCCACCGAGACCTTTGTCCTCCGTTCGGTATTGAAGAAGCCTTGGGCGAAACTGTCTCTGGAGAGCTTAGAGGTGAGAAAAGAGTTGCAGTACCTAAAACAAATGAATAAAACTTCATTTTGCTTCAAAGCAGTACCTCTGAGCTAGCATTTATATCATCTGGCATAAAGAGAAATCTTTTACCCTCAATTTTTTCCTCTACTTTTGTCATAGCACTGTGTGAAATTTGTGAAATTTGTGAAATTACTTTCTCTTTTTTTAAGTGTGGTACACAGAATGGAGAATTTAATGTAAGTAGGTTAAAGAGGCTTATCTTAATTATAATGATCCTTTACATTGACAGAATTATATATCAGTAATTTCATATGACTATATAGTGATACTAGTTACTCATAATAATGTGTCAGTCAATTACCCGTCAGTCCATACAAAATATTTGGTCTTAATACTTCTTACAACCAAGCTTTTTGGTCCCAGCTGAGCTGATAGGAGAAAAGAGGTGGCTAATGGAAAGTTGGTAGCATCTATTGGACAGCTGCCATCTGTCCTTCTGGCGTATATGCGGCAGCAGGTCTCCCAGAAAAGTGTTGGCCCCTTTGACTTGCTCTTAGGCTTAGTTTGTACGGTTCCGCCAGGTAGGCTGTTCAGTTCTACCAGACTTGAGTTCGTGCAGGGTGCAGTAGAGAGACTGGAGCAGAGGGCCTGGTTTTAAGTCTTGACTTGGAAATTTAATAGCTGGGCAGGTTAACCTTTCTGTGCCTTTGTTTCCCTGTGTGTAAAAGGCTACTATTAATACGTGTCTTATAGAACACTTGGAGCATGGAATAGGACAATAGGATGACGTTCACGCCAGTGTGAGGCACATCAGAAATACAGATCCTGTTTTTAAACCCTAGCGTTAATTTTAGCATGGAACTGTGTATACAAAGCTGTCTCTCAATCACAATGGAGTACCTTCTACCCATCTGGAGAGCTGACGATCAATTGCTATTTTAAATGTTTCAACACCTGTTTTAGCTGAGAAGTGATCGGAATTTCTTTTTTTTTTTTTTTTGGTACCGAGAATCAAACTCAGGACCTTGCACTTGCCAGGCAGGTGCTTGTGCCACTGAACTATATCTCTGGCCTGTGATCAGAATTTCTAATAGCAGTACCTACTCATATTTTATCTTTTCCTAAATACCTCTTGCTTATTATCAGTATAGCTTTTTTTTTTTTTTTACAAATAATAACAATATGATACAGCAAACATGAAGTGCTAGAATAACAGGATTTTGTTTAAAACTGATGATTTTTTTTTTTTAATTTTTCTTTTACTAAGTTGACCCAAATTGGTTGGCTGACAAAATTCAAGTTCTTTGCTAACTTTTGTGGTGATTTTAATTAAAAATAAATCTAAGAGCAACCATGAACTGTCATATGAGTTAGGGTATTTCCCAGTATGTGTTCGTGTCTTTGTTTTCTTGGTGAGGAAGAACTGACTTGGGAAAAACAGCAAGTGAAGGATGGTTTGGAGCAGATATTCTTAGAGCAGCTGCTGTTACTGGGGTGGGGTAGTGCGCAAAACGAGCAGCCCTTGAGAACAAGGACTGGGCAGGATTTTCAGATGAGACTGGACAAGTTGGTGGTGCCTAGGAGGGGCCTTTAATCCTGTCCCCTGGCTGTTGTCCTCTGCTGGGCTCCAGTGGCTCTCCTGGGGCGAGCCCTGTCTTCAGGGCTTGCAATATCTCTTGCTTTCTAACTTGCCCCTATAATCTTAATTTACGTAAATACGCAGGGACAAAAGCTAACTTTTTTCCTGTTTCTTCCTCAAGAATATGGTAAGGTAAGCAGGAAATTTAAACACTTATCAAAGGTGTACATCCCACATTCAAAAGAGACAGCATCGGGGCTGGGGATTTAGCTCAGCGGCAAAAGCGCCTGCCTGGCAAGCGCAAGGTCGTGAGTTCGGTTCCCGGTACCGGAGAAAAACCAAAAAAAAAAAAAAAGAGACAGCATCCTATTATATCTTTTACCTATTTGGTTTCTTCTCATTTTAGTGTGATTTTTATACTTCAGGTCATTTATAATCGCCTACCTCATCTGACACCAATTGTAGTACACTGTAACCCTAGGCACCGGTATTTTTCTTAACTTCACTTGCTAGATCAAAGGCAGAATGAATTTAACCCACATTTATGGATTTTTGTTATTCAATTTTGGCCTGAAATACTATTTACTAAAGTAATATTTAGAGAACCTAGCTTTTATTTGTGCCTAATATTGTGGTGCTTTAAGCCAGAACAGTTTTGAAAATAAAGATAATCTTTAGTGCTACAGTTTCTGCCCTTTGCTGAAACAATTCAGAATTGCCACCCTTATATCTGTGTGTAATATGTAAAATTATTCACTGATGTTTAGGAACACCAAAATAACCTCTGTGATGATGGAATGCCTCCAAGCTTAGCTTCTGATCTTTTAAACTGTCACAAAGAACAAAAAGCTGGTAAGAAATTTATATGTACTTTTAAGCCTGAGGATAGCATTTTCTTGTAGTAAAACGTGGTATACCAGATTTTCAGTGGTCTGCTAATGCTTTGATCTTCAGGCAATTACAGTGGAGGGGGTAGAATCTCTTTGGAGAACCTCAGAATTGACACTGAGTGCCCAAACTGCAACCCCAAACCCACTTCTTTATCACAAAAGTGCCAACCCTGCAATTAAACCTAAATGTCCAAGGCTTGGCTGCTGGGCTGGCTTGGCTCGTGTGCCAACGGGGAGGGCTCTGTATACCAGGTGTGGCGTGTGTGCCATAGGCTCACCACCACGTGTACGGTCTGGGGAGCGGCTCAGCACTTACTTGCCTGACATGCATGAGCCCCTGGGTTCCGTTCCCAGCACCAAAAAACAAAAAAAGTTTGGTCTGTTTCCCTTACCCATTCTTTACTTAACTGTAGAACTGTTCAAGGTTGGAGATATTTCTGCAAAATTTTACTTCAAAGTCTATGTCATCTTTTAGGTGGAAATTTCCTTCTCTTTCCCAGTTTGAATTTGCTCTACAGACTATGTTTTTTTATTTTACAAATAATACCATAGTATATCACTTTAAAAGATTTTAGTTTACACTCTTTAGATAAATACACCATGGCTTTTAAAAAAATAATTCCTGTTTATTCTCTATAGAAGATGAGGAAAATTATAAAGTACCTGCTTTGCTAAATATGAGGAAGAGGAAGAGAGTTACTTTTGGAGAGGAGCTAAGCCCAGAAGTGTTCGATGAGTCTTTGCCAGCTAACACCCCGTTGCGTAAAGGAGGAACACCTGCCCGTCAAAGGGACTTAAGTGGGCTCAGTCCCCAGCTGCCAGAGCAGTCACCAGTTCCTGTTCCTGAGTACTTGCCTCAACCAGATTTTGATGACAAAGGAGAGAATCTTGTAAGTGGAAAAGCCTGGAACAAGCTGGCTTACGTTTTCATCAGGCTTTACCTGTTCTCAAGAGCAGTGATGACGTTTTGAAATCATGAGAGGAACCAAAGGAAATGCCATATATTAAGAAATTCTACTTTCTGTATAGGTTTTTACCACTTCTCCCTATTTCACGCAATACTTCCATGACTCCTTGTATGTAGCATATTTCATGAAACTTCGTTCTATGTATTGTTAAGAAAACATGCTGAAAATTAAACACCTTTATGAATTGTAATATATACTCAGATTTTAGAGACATGAAAATATAAAAAAGCCATCATCTTTTTTTTTTTTTAAATTTTTATTTTTTATTTTAAAGAATAAAAGAAGGATAACATAATAATGGGGGGACTTAGCAAATTACAGACAAAATGGTAGGAAATTATCAATGGTTATCGTTTTACATATTATTATCTACAAAATAGTTTCTCAGGAAAACAAATAGACAAATAATAGTGAGTTAAAGACAAAAGAGGTAGGAGATTATCAAGAGTTGTTGTGCTATACTTTGGTATCTTCAAAGTGGCTTCTAAAGAAAATAAATAGAGCTATACATGAGTGACCTATTGAAAAATCATTAACTATTCTCAATGGTTGTTGTAGAAAACACATAATAATAAACATACATTATGAAATAGGATAGGAACAATACAAACTTAACACAGTTATGGATAGATTAGTAGGAAAATATCAATGGCTGCTGTAATACGTGGTGGTATCTTCAAAGTGGTTTCTCAGGAAGACAGAGATATGCAAGAAGGATCTAATAAGTAGTTACAGCCTAATGGTTGTCAAAAATAGCATATTACCTCCTCACCAGTGACTCCTTTCACTGAGGTATGATGGCTGGAAGGAAGGCCAGGATTGAAAAGAAGGACCAAGAGACTTGCACCTGTGTCTAGTAACAGGCTGTTTTCTTGTTCCTCCATAGTCATGATTACCCAGGACTCCTCGATGGAGATGACGGTCTGGCCAGAGGGAGAAGGCAGAGCATGCCCCAAGCCCTCTCATTCCTGTTGGACTAACTGGTAGCATGGGTCTGAGCTCTGGGGCCTCCACCTCAGAGGGCAGACCAATCTCCAGTGGTCTCCTTTGCATGCAGGGCATGTCCCATGGGGCCTCTTAGGGCAGTTCCTCTTGAGGTAGCCTGGCTTTTAACAGTGGTAGCAGATGAATGCAGTTGTCGAGTTCTTCTTGGAGCCCCGGGAATCAGACCTGGGATCTGTTTCTCTTAGTGGTGCAGCAAAAGCAGCTGCTTTTTCTTAGTCTCTTTGTTTTTTCTCCTTGGCCTCCTCCTCATCATGGCTATAGAATACTGAGGAGGCAATTCTTACTAACATCTCAAGTGAGCTATCTGGGGTGAAAGCCATTCTTTGTAGCTTTTTCTCTCCAGCTTCCCATTGCTTTGGGACCCCACAACCAGTTAGTGTCCTCTCCCCAACTGTAAAAAGCCATCATCTTTCAATTGAAGTACTGTAGAAATTCGTGTATTCTCTGAGATGGAAAAAAATGTGCTTTAAAAAATTACTGGTAAAGCTCTAATCTGACTGATGAGGAAAAGGGAGAGAAAAATTACCAATATCCACAGGGTGAAAAGTAACGTAAGTATATAACCTAACAAATACTAAGTGGGAATAAGTAAATACTATAACTTACGCTAATAAACTTAACAACATATATAAACAAAACATATTCCTTGAAAGATATAAACTACCAAAACTCAATAGCCTTCATACTGACTAAAGAAATTTAAATCACCACTCACACTTTCCCATACAGAAAACTCTAGGTAATTTTCACTGATAAATACCACCAAACATTTAATCAAGTTAGGTTAGAATTGTACACGTACTCTTCCAAAAATTGAGGTGTCTGAAATATTTCCAAATTCCTTGATATCTCCATTAACCTGCAACTAAAATCAGTAATTACAAGAAAATTTCAGTGCAGCATCCTCATGAACATAGAACTGTATGAAAAGGTAATTTTAGCGTAGTCATGTGAGATTTAACCCAGGGAGGGAAGGTTAGCTAATGTTTGCAAAATAGTATAGTTTGCCGTGTTAACAGACTAATGCAACAATACGATTGTCGCATAGTTGTGCAGGAAGCATTTGACAAAATCTAGCACCCATTTCTGGGTTAAAAACACTCAGAAGCAAACTGGTGACAAAAGGGAACTTCTGACAGGTTTCATCTATGAAGGATCAATAGCTATCTTACTGACAATGGTGTGGGAAAGGTTAGGTAACTGTGTTAATATTGGCTTTTATTCTGAAGTTCCCTGAATAATATTGTCATGTGAACTCGTGCTTAATAATGAACTTTGTATTTTTTGTAGGAGTTAAGATACAGGTTTTTAAATAAATCAGGAAGTAACTAAGATCATTATGATTACTTTTGCTTTTTAGTAGAAAATTTACTTTTATTTTGGTTGATGGTAGTTGTTAAACATGGTTTCATTATAAAGATGATTGGTCAGTTTTATAAGGTATATCTAGTATCTTTGTTTTGCTGTGACTTTTAAATCTTTTGTTGATTTCTCATCTTTCTTTGTTATAATTCCCCTACAAAAACAAGTCTTTATCATTCTTTCTTTGGGGCACATTATTTGTATGATAACTGAATTTAAGAATATTTAATTTCTGCACTTTCCTTTATTTAGGAAAACATAGAACCACTTCAGATATCATTTGCGGTTCTGAGTCCTATTAAATCTTCAATCTCTGAGACTCTTTCAGGTATAGCTTTTGTTTATATTATGTCTTTTTCAGTATGGGAAACTTAATGGCTATTTTGTTTTTAAGTCATTAGTATAGCAATACAGTGTGGCTGGTTTACAAACCTGTCACTGTAATGTAGAAAAGCTTGTGAGAAGTTGCTTATGCATCATTTTCCATTCTGCATCACTTAGAGTCTCCTTAGAAGGCTACCCCTGTTTCAGATTGCCATAAGCAGTGCTGTTGGTCTCTCAGCTCCTATCAGTGATAAGATCGTAACCACAATTTGTACAACTGAAATGATTTGGATTGTAAGGGTCCTGCTTAAACATTCAAAGATTTTCATCAGCATTGTCACATTTTTGGCATATGTACTTCCCAAAGACTCTGCCTTTTATGATCATGACAAGACAACAGAAATTTCTTCTCCTAGCTTTCCTGACAGACTTAGCTGGCAAATGTCGTGGGATAGGCTCTTGGGATGGAGTTTTTAAAGTTCATGTACTTTCCCTGGGGTAAATGGCTTTTTGGCTGCCACAGCCAAGGTTAGAGCGCAGAACCCAAGCTAGAGCCAAAATGTGAACCATGGTCTATTACACTGTGAAGTCTGGTCTTAAATTCCTTCCTTATACTATGTTTCATTTATACCATACAAAGCAGTCAAATTAAAATGTACTGAAACTTTACAAAACTTTAAATATTTTTATGATTATCTTAGTGCATGCCCTTATTGCAGTTTCATTTGATAAAATGTAATTTGGAATTAACAAGCTTCCAAAAATACATGCATTTATTGTAGTTTGATTTATGTATACATGTATCGTAATATGAGTTAGTCTGTTAGGATGATACTGTGTTAAGTGGTCCCCTTGGAAAATTGTGAAAGTTTCTCAATATTTAGTAAACTCAGTTTTCTAAAAACATTTTTAGATTTCAAAGCTTAACACTCTTCTTAAGTATTTATGTTCAAATATATTAAAAGCAAAAGTAAGTATCAAAAAACCTTCCAGTATTTTTCAGATGATGATGTACATTAAGGTTTGGGTTAGGCACCTGATTTTGCCTATTTCTTGTTTATCAGGTAGTGGTACTTTTAGTTCTTCAAATAACCACAAGAAGATTTCCTCCTGTAAAGTTGGTAAACCAACACGGACTTCTAACAGAAGAAATGTAAGTGTTTATATCGCATCGAATTTTTTCCATTTTCATGATCAAATTATAATAGATAAAATTTTGGTTTGATCAATGTCATTAAGAATTTAAACCTTATCCTAACAGAATTTTGTTTTACTGATTTGATTTTAACTCTGTTAAAAGGAAGATCCATTAAAAGAAGATGCGTTCAGATTTGTGTTAATGTAGAAGGTGGTAATCTGTTTGAAAAGTTTGTTTGATATCTGTGATCTTTTAAGTATTCTGTTGAGATGAATGTAGAGATCAGCATGTTGGAGCCCCCAAATGACGTGAATACAACCAATCCTTTCTTAACACCTTCCTTCCTGATTGAACCACAGCTGGTACATGAATGGTGGCTAGTATCACTGGTGGTACAAAAGAATGTGATCACCTGTAATGGTCTTTTTACTAACAAAATTAATAAAAAAAAAAAACCTGCAAAATGGAACAGTCATGCACGTACCATCAGCGATTCAACTTGCCCAGCAGTGAGACATGCAAATTATGCCCGCCATGAATGTATTAAACTGTGCTTTGAACTGTTTGTTTTAGCTGGGAATGCATGTCTTTTGGTATTTTATTAAATTCGATAACATTGGATTTTTGTCTGTGATCATAGTACATAAACATACGTGATTGTAGGACTTTTAGCTGATACGATTGTTTATAAACCCAAATCAAACCTAGATTCATGATTTTCTTGACTTTCATGATTTTCCTTCCTATAACCCAAGAATAGTGGGGTGCTAAATTGTTTGTTCTACATAAATATTTGATAAATTAGTAAGTCAACTAGTTGTTTTTTCTTTCTAATATAATTGGGTAGTATCCATTTGCTTCTGCATCTGTTTTATAGATTTACAAATTGGTAAATAGCATTTCCCTTGTTTGAATTTTGGTTGAAACACCTCTAATGGAATTAGTGGATTAAGAAGTAACAGGATGTGAAATGGTAGATCATTGTAGGGAACACATCAGAAGTGAGAGCTGTACGTTCAATTGTGATTGCTTGCGCTTTGTGGATCCTTACCCTTAAATTTTCATCGCAGAGGTTGGCCACCTTTACAGAAGAGAATGTGTGCAGCTTATATAATGCAGAAGCTCAGCCTTGTAAAGAAAAGAAAATTAATAGGAGAAAATCTCAGGAGACCAAATGCACAAACAGAGCAGTTCCTAAAAAGAAACAGGTGAGTGTATTTTTAAAGATAATGCATGAGCTTTCATGTATTTTTTCATTGTGTGATAAAGAAAACAGGAAACAAATTTTTTCCCATTCACATTGGACCAAGATTACTAAAATTATCTTACTCAGGAATCTAGAAGGGGCGTTAAAAGATTTATCTTCAGCTCTTAGTCCTGTGAAGGACAAAATTGCATCTGCCTCGCCTTTGTGTGCCTCATCCTGCACAATAAATAATAGGTACTCAAATATGAAATGGTTTCTCATGTTTGCGTCTAATGTAATCTTTCATCCAATGGGAATCCTACCTTTTTTTTCCCTTTAAAAGCTTTAATAGACAGAAATGACATAGAATAACTGCCAAGTGACATAACGTAACTTTACTGCTAATGTTTATGATCCCAGAAAGAGTACCGTGTCAGGGCACACTGCACGGGTGTTTTCACCAGTTGCCCTCGAGCTGTGTTACTGAGTGTGGGCCGTGGACCTATCTTTACACAAGGCAGCTGCCCTGTCTGGCAGGCTTCACATCACCTTCTTTTTCAGGCTTGTCTCTTGTCCCTGTCTTGAGTGATAGGGACTTCCCAGCAAAGGCCGGTCTGTTTTCACTTCATGACCTTTTCCAGTTCTCTCGGCATGTGCCACACCCCTTGCAGTTTGTCCAGCGCAGTAGTTGTCAAACTTTGCCTGTTAGTTGTGAGGGTAACAAAATAATGGTCACAACTAGTTGGAATAATCAGCGCAGATCCAGTGTTCCGTGAAAGGCTGTGTACAGTGAAGCTGTATCTGCCTCCTGCACTTGCAGCTCCTCTAGAGTGGGCAGCTGCGCTAGCCCTTGCCTGGCAACACTAGCCCTGCCCTAGGGAGGCCTTTAGCCCTTTCTTCCTGAACTTCCCCTTTGATTGTTGAGGGCCGCAGTGCCCGTGGATGTCCCGATTTCTCAGGTAAGGACGAATGCACTATCTGCTGCTTGCCGACTTCTTACGGTAGCATCACTTCTGTATATCTGAGGAAAAAATCAGAAACCAACTCCCAGCCTTCCTCACGGCCTGCAGTCATCTCAGATGCCTTTGCTGTCCGTGTGCTTAGCCCATCCAGCACCTTAACCCTGTTCCTCTACCCTCTCCACCCAGGGACCACAGTCATCTGGCCCCTCTGAATACTCTCAAGCTTTCAAATACTCTACCTCTTAATTACATGTTTCTTTATCCTAAACTACATGAGCTGTTTTCACAACTCTTCCGTAATCTTATTTCTGCATATCCTTTTCATTCCATTCTCAGACAACTAGCAGAATGTCAGCTCTGAATTCATTATTCCCTCTACCATCTAATCTCACCACTGGAGAGACGTGCACAGGTGGGGAGGGCAGCACTACAGTGGAGTCGTGGTTTCAGATAGCATCTGAAGTTTTTCACTACTATTTTTTCCTTTAATTATTTTTTCAATGCCTCGAGTAATTTCATTACTAAAATTCATGTATACTCTTCAGCCCTGCTCTCACTTGATATCTCAGCAGCAGTTCACCATATCAGTCACTCCTTTATAGTCTTTTAAAAGTTAACTTCTTTTGCCCATCCTTTACTGTTTGTATTCCTTAGCATTCTCTTTTTTTTAAAAAATTACGTATTTTCTGTGTGATGTCATATGTGTTATGGTTAATGACCAGTTTTGAAGATCACATCTTCCTGATTCAGCAGCCTACTTGACATCGCCTCTGAAACCATCCTTAAGCACTTCACCATCAACATTTCCAAATAAACCCATCAATCTCACCACATATACAACATTCCATAGATTTCCCTTCTCCATGAAATAAAAGTGACTATTTCTCACACTTGGATAGCAAAGATTTCCTTAAGATATCAAATCTAGAGGAAATTGGAAATTTTCTTGGTTTCCTTTTTAAGATCACATTTTTAATAGAGTGATAAAAGATCCTCTTGCTGAACAAATACATGTAAGTTCAAAGATATGCATAAAATTTATTCCATTAGAAACTGATTTCCTTTACCTCCAACACTGTTACAAATAATGCGTGCCTATTTCTTCTTACCAGATCAGTGGTCAGAAAGTTCAGGAAAGATTGAGGATTGGATTGCTCCAACCCTGTGTAGGACCCTGCTGAATTAATCTAATTTATGTCATAAGAGGAATAAACTTAGAATAGCAGTGAGATGAGGAGGGGTAGTAAGCAACAGACGACAGCCTTCAATGAATTTCTAGAAGACAGAGCAGATGGGAGCATGTTGACAGATAGAAGAGGTGGAAAGATTTACAGCTGAGAATGTGCTAGGAGGGAACTAGAGGGATCTGGGAACCAGCCTGCCTGTTGGAGTCCCAGGAGACTCTAGGCCCAGAATTGGCAGGTACACTGGATGGTGAGAGTGAGAAATGGTACTGAAAACGCAGCGATTAACTGAAATCTTATACAAGGAACAGTTTGCAGCAGTTGGCATGCCCCACCCACTTTTCCCACCCTGATGCTCAGAACAGATGTTGTCATCTAGGTTAAGGCCTCACTCTGTGGAAAGTCCCACAGTTTTGACAGCCAGCTCTTGACCCTAAAGCAAAACCTAACAATTTGACCTTTCCCACTTGGCCCTGCCCTGAACTGCCCTGCCCCACTCAGGGTTCCTAGGTAGACTTCTCATGCAGGAAAAGGCTCAGCTGGAATGCAGAGGAAACCCATGCTAATATGCCCAATCTTTAACTAAGAATGAGGCTGTTGAATGGAACAAGAAGTGTGAAAGAGACAAGGTTATTATTAATAGTAAAGTTTAAAAATGGACCCCAGAACAAATAGGTTATTGAGGAAATGGAAGAAATATACGTATGTATTCTGTTATGCTCAGATTTAAGGAAATATCTGCATAAAAGAAGAGGGTGCTATGAAAAAAGAACAGAGAAAAATATTATAGAAATTGAAAATGTAAGAGATGGTGGACAGCTCTGAGATAGTGCTGCTGGCCTACACCTGACCTCCCGTGGCTCCCAGCTGATCACCCATCCTGGTCCTTCCAAGCCAGTGGACCTTAAAGTCCTTAACATGCAGAAGTAGATGGTGGTCAGAGCGCCCCCTGCAGGTCATCTATACTGGACCACAGATGGATATGCAAAGTACTGACACCCACCCAGGTGAAGAACAGATCCAGAAGGTAAAATAGGTGACACTATTGAAGACACAGACACAGATAAGGACCCTCTGAACAGAACCCCAGTTGTACAAGAAATAATATCAAGAATCAACACATGGGATTATACCAAAATAAAAAGCTTCTACAGAGCAAAGGAAACAACCAGTAGAGCGAAGAGACAACCTACAGAATGGGAAAAGTATTTTGCTAACTACTCCTCAAGACAAAGGACTAATACCTAGAAGAACTCAAAAAAATGAAGAACTCAAAAAAATCAGCTCCCCAAAAGTAAAAGAGCCAATCAAAGAATGGACAACTGAAATGGATAGCCATTGCTTTAAAGAAGTACAAATGGCCAGTAAACACAGGAAAAAATGTTCAATGTCTCTGGCTATTAGAAAAATGCAAATTGAAACAACACTGGAATTCCATTTTATTCCAGAAAGAATAGCTATCTTTAAGAAATCAAATAGTAACAAATGCTGACTGGGAAAAAAGGAACCCTTCTACATTGTTGGTGGGAATGTAAACCAGTGCAATCACTTTGGAAATCCATATGGAAATTCCTCTAATAAAAATTCCATTGAATGCAGCTAGTCCCCTTGTAAGTATCTTCCTGAAAGAGATTAAGACATCATATTACAATGAGACCCATATTGATAGCCGCACAACATAATAGCTGAATCTCGGAAATGACCTGTATGTCTGTCAACATGTGAATGGACAAAGAAAATATACACAGTGGAGTGCTATGCCACAAGTAAGGGTACATTTGAGTCACTTGTAGGAAAATAGATGCGCCTTGTGACAAAAATGTTACGTGAAATAAACAGGCACAGATTTAAATATTGCATGCTTTCTGTGAGAAACCCAAAGTATAAATAAAGAACAAAATAAAAGGGAACAGGGAACAGGGAGATAGATCTTAGACAAAAGGAAAGAGGATGTGGAGATAGGAAAGAGAGGAGGGGAAGTAAAAAGAATTAAGGTGCATTGTTTATAGGAACCAATTCCCCACAAGGAATGTCGCCTATACTACAAACATACTAATGAAAAATTCTAAAAATTAAAAAAATACAGCAGCGTTGCGTGGGATGGTCCTGGTTCGGATAGGGTCTGAGAAACTTTCTGTCTTGTTCCTGACATTCTGGATATGAGCAGCAGGAAGGAGCTCAGATACATGGAGTGGCACCATTTCTTGCTGGTCAGCCTGGAGTGACAATGGCGGAGGCACAGTTCTCTTGGGTCACGTGGGCCCTGGGGCTCCTAAGGCGCAGGGCCCCACCATATGTCTGGGTGGTTGATGAGCAGGACACGCTGTGGAAGAAAGGCAAGCTCATTGTCAGCGACCTATTTGGACACTCCCATGGTGAATTCAAGGCAGTATGCTTCTGCAAAACAGTCTGAGCTGGGCCCTGAGTGCCTGCACATGTTAGCAGGCTGAAGGGGTTCACTGTGTACCCAAACCCAGCAACTGTCCAGGATGTAGGGTAAGCTTGGATTAAATGGTCCCGGAATCCCTGAACAGTGTGTGGAGTTCAGTGATCATCCATCTTTCTTGCTCTCATTCACGCAGGTGAGAAATTAGGGTGGCTTACCCTGCTGCCTGTCCCTTTTCATTCTGGATAGTCACATGTCCCTATTTATGTTTTGATCACATTCAAGCTTTAGAGAATACATTGGTACTCTGATAGAGTCATTAGATTATTAATGTAAAGAGAAGAACTCAGAATTTAATGAAGAAAAAAATCCAGGTAGAAAGATCAGATCTGAAGTAATACAGCAAAATACCAAAGAATCTCTGAGAGAGGTTAGACGAGAGAGAAGGGTTTGTTGCTTTCCCTGTGTGATCATTAGCCTAGAATTGTGC